AATTTCCTGTTACCATCCGCTCATACTAATTATGGGCAAAAAACTACCGCTTTCAGTGCGATATCCTTTTGGAATGCGTTACCTTCTAGCATTAAGCGCTGCACTTCAATTCCTTTGTTCAAAAAGTCCGTCAAAAATCATTTTCTCGAATAACCTTACTTGTCATCGTTTACCTGTTTGACTCGTTTGTTCTTCGTTTTTTTTTATACATTGTTGCGTGTTTCGGCTTGATTTGTGATATAAAAGTGCATTTTGATGTCCGTAAATTGTAAGAATTTTCTGTTGCTCTGTATAAATTTTACCGTCGATTTGCACCGACAAACCGAGAGTCCCACTAAAGTCTCTGGCTCTGGGACCCTCGTCTGTATATCTTAGATTTTGTACCTTGTTTTTGGAAATAATAAAACACAAAACTTGAAAACTTGAAACTTGAAACTGAAAATTTTTTCGGCACCCCCAATTAAGGCGTCATCTATCATAATAGTGTGGTTATGGTTTTTAAAAGTCCTGATTTAACTTTACGTGGCTTTTAATTTGAGTGTAACATCGAGCTCATTATTAGTAAGTTTAAATTTTCATTACTCATAATAAAAAACACATTTAATACACAAGGCTGGTAATAGAACGTGCATTAAAAAGAAGTTTGAATGTAATGGTAGTTTTTACGTTCCTGTAGAGAGTGCTTGCAATATGATCTACGCGGTTTGTTTTAAGTAGAATATTAGCCATAGATATTAAAGCAACATAGACACCAATGTCAACTACCTGCGTTGTGGAGACTTTCAACTTAATTCCTACGCTTATTTTATTAAGAGACTTGCATGTTGTTGGGCAAATCATTCGACACAGCAGCCTACACGTAACACTTTTGTGCGCAGCGCTAAGTATTTCGATGTTGGATCAAGCACCAAACACAAATGCACAAAAGTGCGAGTTAAATCAGTAAAATAACACAGGCTGAAGCGTGGAAACTTGGGCAAGTTTGTAGGGCATAGCTGAAAACACGAACAGCGCAACCTACTAGTCGCTACAGCGTACCTACGAAAACAAGAGAGAATGACAGGAAAGAACACTGACGTTTAACATAGATGTATTAGCGGAGTGGTGAACATATATAAGTGAAAAAAATGGACATGCGTAGAAGGGGTACAGTTAACAACCACTGTGATAAAATGTCAAACAAAACTCTTCTCACTTCTTGATTCAGCTTAAAACCAGTCCCCAGACTAAAAAACTATCGAGATACGCAATCTTTTCGCAATAGCTCAACTGATGGGGAACTTGCATATGTACCGTCAAACTTACTCATGCGATAGACCTTAATTATCTCACGCATCGCCTGCGAGTGGTGCTTGCCTATTACCTCCCTTGCGGCCGTAGTTACACTGTAGCTAGTAGTAGGTTGCGCTGTTCGTAGTTTCAGCATAGGCAACCTTCATGCATTAAACACTATTAAAACTTTGAGCTTATTCGTAATATAGAAAGCTACAAAAACGAGCAAAGCGTTAGTCCAGATTGATTTGATGGTGCATATATCGATGCGCTTTTCATCTAATATTGTACTGATGCACACGTCTTTCACTACGTGAAACACATAAGGAGCAAAAGTTTGGCTTTCCCCAAGAGGTTTTTTTTAGCCATAAGCTACGATGTTAACCAAGTACTGCATCAACTCACGGCAATTCACTTCGCGAACCTCGACGGCCGACCGATAGAGACATCTTCTTTTTCTTCTTTCGTTGCTGTGGTGGGGCGTCACAGTGTGTTCGTGCTGTCTCTGCTGTTGTCATAGTTATCTAATAGTTGAATCTTCATTGAACAAGCTTCGGTTTTACAAGTATTTCTAAAAGCATAATTTTATTTATTATTGTATAGTTTTCAGAAAGTCCCCGGTGGTTTTCTCATGCATTCAACGAAAAAGCCTTTTAGTTAAACGAATTTATGAACAGTGAATGTGTCCGTTGAACTAAGTTGATCAGCGGACCCAGGTTTGATTTTGAGATCAATTGTTTGAAATTCCGTGCTCGTCAGGACTGGCGTAGGCTATGCGTGCCGGCCCAAGATCGCCCACCCATCGAGGCAGCGGCGCATTATCACTTGAGTACGCAGCGCCATCGAGGTAAAGTGGCCGTGCGGGAAACGAAAACGAGCCACGTGCACTTGCGAAACGGTGCCAAATCGTGACCGCTGGATTGAAAAGAAGGTATTTAATTCATCGGCTGAGGCGACAATATCAGATTTGGTATAGTTTCCAGTATTTGTCCGGAATCAAAACAAGAAGAGCGTGGGGAAGTTATAATGACCAAGGTAAGTCTTTATGTTAAAGACGCTTTGCAACACTTTTGCACATAGTCGGAAAACGCATAGAGACAACAATGATGCCAGATACCGTCAGAATTTGCATTGTCATTGTGGCATCACATGATGTCATCCCACGACAGCGTCACTTTGTAACGGGTGGGCCGATCCCGGAGGACGCGTGCAAAAGGCGCACCAAACTTTCAAGTGCGTGGACGAAAAAAAAGGGAATAGAAAATCACTTTCGTCTTGAATTCGTTTTATAATAACGCGTATAGGACCATGTCAGCTTTTTTATCCATAAAGAAACAATCTTTCAGACGGCTTTAAGATGCATGATCGACGTCTAGATGAAAATACATTTTGTTCTCGTAACTATTCCCTGGCGCCTTAAAAACTTCACTTCATGATGATGGTAGCCGCATTACGTGCGTCTGTTGTGAGGTGCACTTAGTTGTAACTGGATTGCTAATAAGGAATGGGCGAATTGAATCAAGTGTCATGCCATAAAGTGAGAACAAGACGAAAGTGAAGGAAAATGAAAGAGATCATGATACTTTCGGTGCTGTTAAAGCAATCGAGCACGTATTTTTGAAATATCATAGATATCAAAACATTAGGCAAAGATTTCTGAAACCAACTTTTCATAAAAGTAGCATTGAGCTTTTAGCAGTGGCATTGAGCTTTTTTCGTTGGGGTCGTCGGCACTAAGGCACTGCAATACCGTATATAAATATTTAAAAGAATCAAAGAAAACACCGTTAATACTACCAGTACATGTAAAACATTATCTTTCATTTATGCGTCTACTTGAACTCTAACAATGATTTAGTTCATATCTTTAACTTTACTTTAAGTGGCATGCGTTAAAAGAGACCAGAATCACCACAAATATTTTAGCTTCCCTGCAAATGATCTTCTTCGCATATCCTTTCCACCTCTTTATCCTCTCTCTGCACCTCTTTATTTTTTTTGTTTCCTTACTTTGTTTCACCAATTCGACTGCCGCACACCTCGTGGCTCGTCCCCCGTGGTGGGTTCATTGTGCCATTCTTCCGGGAATCATCATAATCATCATCGAGGACAGGCTACTCAGTTCCAGAAGAAAGAACAACTGGCTCGACCTTTGCTCTTCGTCCCATAGTGAGGTGCTGCTCTCAACTACGTCTCTTTGTATAGACGTATAGAATGCTTACAGAGCTCCCTATAACAATAAAAAAAATTAGATCAGTTTCGCACGTTATGCGTGCCAAGCCTGAAGGAAGTGCAGAGGTGGGCAGCCTTCTCTGGTTCTATTCAGTTTTTTCTTTCCTCCTCTCTTTCTTAGTGTTTCTGTTTTCCTGTCTGTTTCTCTTTACTTTTATTTATTTCTTCCTATCTCGTTATCTACTTCTTTATTTTTCTTGCTCGTTTAATTGTTCTTCCTATTTTTACCGTTGCTATATTTTATTTCTCTCTTCGCGTGCTTCGGACGGTAACATACCCTAGCCTCATAACCTATAGCCATTACTCCGATATTTCAGAACTTTGTCCGAACTGCCACAATCGCAGTGATTTTAACCACATGCTCTGGAGGCGCCCGTCTTTATAAAGAAAAAAATGAAGAATTTTCCAAAAACTCCTTCCGTTTAATGCTCATGAGTCCGGTTCCCTTACAACAACTCAAGGCGCCCCAGAAGGTCCACAATGCGGCGGTGAGGCTGGGTCTCCCCGTCCCTACGTGGGAGCGGCCCACAATTCTACCCCTATAAAACGGGGGTGGAATCCTTCAGGACGCCAATAAATCTTTTTAATCCATCATCCATCGCAATTTCTTGCTCTTTTTCATGATTTTCATACATGGTCTGGCATGCGTTATGCCATGTGCTGCGAGGTTTTTCGTTTTTCTTTTTCTATGACGATGACAAGCGGCCATCATCTGCATGGGCACTCGAAGAACAAGAGGAAGAAGACTTCTCCTTGGCGCGAGCGCGTGTTCAATATGTTATACAGGAAGCGTTACACCAAACGACGACGATAGCATAGTACGACATTCTACGGCACATGACAGGATGCGACAGCTTGGCCCCTCAGTGTGCTCCGCACTTGAAACGTCTAGAATGCACACCTGTGTGCCCGTGTATACGGACTGTTGCCAGCCGTGTCCTTTTGCCGTCTGCGCTGTCTAGTGGCGAGCAGCCTGCTGCCGAGAACGCTTCTATCGACAAACTCCGCGAGAAAAATGTTGTAGACAGCGACTTCGCCCGTGCTCCCATGGTCAGAATATCTTTGCTCATGGTTGTAGGTTTTCAGAAGTATTTCTATGGGGCATGTGACTGCAACTGTGTTTATTTTAAACGCAAGTGTGACAAATCATTGCCAATATTGCATCACTGCATAGATTGATTGATGTGCGGGGCTTAACGTCCCAAAACTACCATATGATTATGAGAGAGGCCAAGATATTACACTGTTGGCCATACGTTGAAAGAACCTTCAAGTAAATAATTAGAAATAATGATGCACAGACAGTCTGCCTGTCCATTGTTTTTTACGCAATATTGATTTTCTTTTATTTCACGCTTTTATTAGGAAGAAGTGCTTCAAAAAATATTGTTTTATAGAAAAGATTCGCAAGTCATCAAAACATTGAAAATTATTCGTTTATGCCGAGGCGCCTCCTGGACATGTTCCACGTAAAATGAACCCTCATGGGAGTTCAGCTAGATGAAGCGACCGTAGTGCTGTGCTCGCATCATGCGCGCCCTCTTGGCTATCACGAGCAGCACGATGCCTGCAACCACGCTCGCCGAAACGGTGAGTCCCACGGTCACATCCCGAACGGTCGGCAGCGTCTCGGCGCCGTCTTTCACAGGCAGGCCGTGCGCGGAGTGACCCTCGTCGCCTCGGCCGAGGCACGCCGCGTGCAGATCTCGCCGGGACGCCATGATGGCGCACAGCATCGTCTGGCGGCACCCGCCGTCGCATGGTGCCGCATCGTGTAGGGACGAGCCGTAGCTGATGTAGCGCGAAAGCAGGTCGGGTGACCGAGAAATGCGTTGAGCCAGTTCTAACATTGAAGTCGTGCTGAGGTCTTGCAAGCCAAAATCATCCTTTGCCGAGTATAGGCGCTCCCATCGTGGCACTTGCTGCGTGCAAGAAAAGATGGCAGCACGATCGCTTCAGTAGGTACCACTCATGCATGTAAAATAAACACGAAATGTCTGACTTTTCTCCATTTGCTCTGTTAATGTTGGTTACAGGCAACCAATGAACCGCGTTTATTGAATGCCTTATTCGTACTATAGCGCTGTAAATTTTGATATAAGTTCTCACTAAACCCAAATTATCAAACTCATGACATGTTGACTGCTGAATATACCAACAGCGCAACTTAAAAGTAGTTAGTGTAACTACGGAAGCAAAGATACAATAAAAGAAAGAGCGCTGATTATCAACAATTGTTGAAATTGTTGAAACATTGTTGATTGTTGAAAGTCAGCGCTCTTTTCTTTTTACGTCAAGCACAATTTTCTTTTCGCTGATGAGGATAAGTGATCATCATCAAGGGGCTCGAAGAACACGAGGAAGAGGACTTCTCCTTGGCGCGAGCACGCGCTCAATATACTACGCGTTAGGTGCTACTCCAAGCGACGACGACAGCCCGGCATTCATGAAGTGCTCTACACTTCAGAGAAAACTAGCACTTTGAAGAAGACTGCAGTTTAAGAGTGGACCACTTAGTCCTGCTAACGTGGCCAATGACCAGTTGAAGCACCTTGGAGGCAGCAGCCATGTTGGCCTTTTGCAGATCCAAGTAGTAGACGGTGTAATCTAGGAGCATGCCGTTGGAGCGTCGGTAGCTGTAGAGGCGCAGAGACGGGTTGACGGAAACAGAAGTGAACTTATGAAGCGGGTGGCTACTGCCGTAGGGCGTCACCGACCCGGTCAAATGGGCACAGCTTACTGGCGTGCCTGCATTTGTCAACCCCCGATTTTCAAGAAAGAATAAAAGTTCACTACAAATGGCTTGCCAGAAAAATGGACAAACGCGAAGGAAACATGCAACGCATGCCCTTTTATAACTCGTTGGTAGTTATTTCTTGTTGTTGAGGTCCGTCCTTGTATATGTGATCGGTGTTTTGTGTTACACACTTACTGTTCTTATCAGCATTCCACGACTTTCGATGACTTGTTATGAAGTTAATGACAACTAATGAACAATGATGTCAAGAAACGAATAGGGGATGTTGTCAGTAGTAACTGCGAAGTAAACTTGAAGAAAAAGGCCACGTAAAGATACTTGGTCTCTGGCAGAGATTGAACCTGCGAGCTTCAGATAATGCGTCCAATGCTCTACAGATAAAGCTGCAGCAGCGGTCTTTCCTTCACCCACTTTATACGGTGTAGCTCTATTTAAGCGTGGAAGTGTCAGTTTGCGGCACCAGTAGCCACTACGGCTAATGTAGAACACTCTTTTTTGTTTGTTGGCTGCAAGTACGTGATCTTATTACGAGCTGGCAGCTGACCTATAATCTCTCTAGTACATTATCCGAACATCATTACACTCAATTGAATCGTATGATACAAACGATGAATAGCAGGCGTATCGTGAGTGAAATCACTATTAGCGAAAGCTGACGTCACAAAATGACTTATACTGCACCTGTACCTCCAACCATCCTTTGGATATTATCGAATAGTCCTAAGAGATGTAATTATATCGTTTTTAACTGAATGCACCATGGAGATGTGGTAGAAATTAAAGGTACAGTGTGAATTTTCACGAAAGGAAACAAGCGAACGCGTGGCCCACGTGCTCCCGCAAGTTGCTTGTAGTGCGTTCAAGCGGGGCGATGGCAACCACAGCCTATATTCCCGTCATCTAGTGGCGAGCAAAACAACTGGTTATTGGTGATATGAAACCGGAGGCAAGATTGCAACCGCCTTCCCTTGAAGGTGGTTACGTAAGAAACTGGGCCTAATCTCCTTCAAGAGGAAAGTGATTTGAATTTTGCCGCCTGTTTCATATCACCAGTGACAGGTTGCTATCGCACCCGCTTGACCGCGGCTACTTGTAGCCGCGGGAGCACGCTGGCCACGCGTTCGCATGTTACCTTTCATAAAAATTGACAGTGTACATTGATGGAGCTGAATCACTTGCCTGCTTTGTCTGATAGTAAGACGAAGGCATGTTCGTGCTGATGGCCGAAAAACTGTCCGGCCACAACGTCTTTGTAATCGCTGATGAGGTCTTGATAGCCATCGTTGACGTCATCAAAGAACAAAATGTTGGCCGGCTCACCCGGGAGGGACCTGAGGAAAAAGCCCGGCCCGATGTGTCCAGAAATAAACACCTGGTACGAAAAACAAGAAAGTAACATCTTACAGTTAGCAACGGTAACATCAGGAACTAGTTAATTTCCTTCCGTCATTTATATGTGTGTGCAGTAAACACAATATGGGGTCACAGCTGTTAGCAAGGGCATGACACTTGTAGCTTTTAAAACGTATCCTAATTAGAGCCGGTAATACAGAAATTTCTTAAAGCGGAGTGTGCCCGGAACTAACCTTTTCTGCAAGGCTGCAACGAAGACAAGCATGTCGAAGTGTTAGTCTTAGACACTCTTTCACCAAGAGTAATGCCTCTTTTGAAGCGTCCATCTTGCCTTTCGTTTTTTTTTGGATGCCTGTAATGCTAGGCTCCCTTATGTGCACTTTGAATGCGTCTTTAGAAGGAAAATACAATTGTTTCGCTGCTGGAGCTTTGTTTTCGACCCCATGCGATTACACTTTACATCTATACTGCTTCCTTCTCAACTCTTTTCTTTGGCCTCGCCCAGCGTTGCATTCAGCAAAACAATAAAGATCTTATTTGCAAGTGTTTTCAACTCTCACATCCAGCTATTGTACACAAACGTCTTTACCATCTTGTTTTTTCGGTCGAAAGAAATCCCCTTTGCTTCAGCACTGTCGCTTGCACTGACTCGAGTGTCTTTGTGTGCGAAAACGAGAGCGTTTCGATTCCCATCCCAGCGCCAGAGCATGAGTGTAATCTTCCGAGTGCGTTGCAGCATTTTTTCAAGAAATCATCGAATGAAATCAGCACCTGATTTCATCGCTTCACCAATCGACTTCCAAGCTAATCGTAGAATCAGTCCGGTATTAGCCGAGTTACAGCGCGCTCTATTCCCTTTTTCCTTCCTTTAGTCCCCGTGATTGCGCTCAAAAGTGCACAGTTATCAGAAGGAAGAGAGGGGGGAGGAGAACAAAGATCTACGTGTTTACACATGTACGCGCATCATTAGCTTCAGAGCTTTCTGCTTGTGTTTTCTTTTTTTTTAAAAGGGAGACTCACTGGCCAAAAAAGTGTCCGGCCACAACGTCTTTGTAATCGCTGATAAGGCCTTGATAGCCATGTTGATGATCAAAGAACAAAATGTTGGTAAAAAGAGTGATCATGAGCGCGCTAAGGTAGAACACGGTGCGCGGGCACGTCGTGAACGCCTGAGCAACTATGCAGCTCATATTAGCCTATGACCATATCCGTGGAGTTTCTGCGTAAATGACCTAGTAGACGTTATATTTATGGCATCATTTATTGACAGAAGAATCAGCGATTTCTAAATGACTTTCAAATCTAACTGCACATTCCATGTCGTGTGCTGTGTTATCACGTTTGGCTCCTATGTTCACAGGAGTTTAGACTGCCCATCGGCAGTGCTTTCTTACCAGTACGTAAATTGTAGCAGGACCATTTAACGCCTTCATTTTTTTCTTTTTACAAAACGTGAGATAAGCACAATCTCATCCCTATCTGTTGGTGGATCTGCCGTTTGAGGTCAGTATATTTACAGCACCTTCTGTCCGTGTCGCTGTGCGTCATGCAACTGCTCTCTCAGCCATTCCAGCTGCGGGTCACCCCTTGACCTAGACCGCCCACCGTTGTTCAGGGTGTACCACAGCACAGTGTTGAGGCACACCAGACGAATGTTCTTTGAGAGCTGCAGGCTGTAGTACCCGCCTGCGCGTTGGGGATTATAAAAGCTTGGCAAGTGTCATGTGTGAAGGCGATCGCCTGTGGTGAACGCTAGCCACAAATGGTTGGCGTCTAACGGGAAAAGGAAAGTTACTGGTAACATAAACTTATTCATATTAAGGCACTTCAGGTTAGGATATGGCTGAAGTGAATAGTGAAGTATCACAGCAGCAAAATTTACGTTGCATGCTTCTTAAAAATACGCAGCACGCATGAAGAACAAGGCTGAGCTACAAAAGAAAAACCTGTCGAATACTATCAACTACGGTTCTTTAGCGGCAAACAAATAATTAGAATGCACATCAAGAGGAAATATTCAATAATCCATGCTTCACCGTCTCATTTTTAACACTAAATTGTTTCATGCCGAGGCCCATAAGATTTTAGTGACGGGTTTCTGTCATGGAAATGATGTCGTAAAATGAACGCTATGAAATGAAAAATAGAAGACAGAAGAGAACGAAATGTGGGCACGAGAGCTTGAGAATATAGTGCGCAGAAAGAGAGTGCTTGCCTGACATGGACGTGTTTTTATATTGTTGAGCCGATAAACAGTTTTCCTGTTCTATCCCACTGACGAATACACCTATGTCAACGACTAGATCTTATGACAACGTTTTCCTCTGTATTCCTTTTGTAGGATAATTGAGGATAAGTAGCATGTTTCATATAAGGGCTATAATCAATGCTGTTTTAGAATCTCTGTAACTATATGCAATATAGGTTCAAATATTGATGTCCACTCACCACGTTCGAAGTTTCGCCAGACTTCCTCGGGGAGCAGCTGTTTGAAGCCCCCGCTGATGATGAAACCACGGTAAGCCGCCGCGTCCACGGACCGCATGGCGTTAGCCGGCACCCAGTCGCGGTTCCCCAGCGTCGGCACAATCAGGCTTTGATTTCGCCCCATCTTGTGCCACAGCAGCGAAGCAATCCAGTGCGTATGGCTGTACACGTCAGTCCAGGTTGGCCATTTTCCGTGTGCCACATTGTCTCTGCAAACATCACCATAGCGATGCAGAAAACTAGCAGGGTCCCCTGTATGCATTAGCCTATGATGGCACGAAGGCGAAGCTGTAGGTAGGCGTGTCGAGCCTGCCTGGCAGAAAGTTCTGCCCCTAACGCGGTTTTGAGCTGCCTCCAGGCGCGGAGGCACCTCGGCTGGATTTGCATTGCCTGCGTGACAGGGCTCGCCTTTGACCAAGCGAAGGATATTCCATGTGGTGACGTTCCCATGTGACAGCACAGTGACGTCATGACAATTTTACAAGATTTGGTGATCTGTGCCGTCATGATGATGTCCTAGTTATGTCGTCACTTGATTATTTTTTGATCAATTGTGTGGGCGCTGATGGAAGACGCTGGTCGATATTTGCGGTTTGATGCATCTGAGGCTTTCGACCTAATAATCTAAACTAGCACGCATGATGTTGCATATCCTAGATTGTTTTTTTTTTACATTGACTATCTGTCGTTTAGTTCCGCATTTTTTCCGCTATACAGGCTACTGATCAGTGGATATGCATTATCGATGCTGAGATATGAGCCATTATATTGATTGATTGATTGATTGATATGTGGGGTTTAACGTCCCAAAACCACCATATTTGTTTACTGCTGCAATTAGTGCATACAAGCCTCATCACAATGTGGCTTGTATGCAAAAAAAAACACGTTCTAGATCATGCATTCTCGAGCGTGTCAAGGACCCTAAGGTGGTAAAATTAACCCAAAATCCCCGTTAGGGTACGCTTCATAGACAGATCAAAGCTGGCACGTATGTAAAAAATAATTTTGTTTACATTGTTTAGAAATCACATAATTATTGTGAGCCTTACCCAGTCCAGAGCACGAAGTCAACCTCTGATTTGATATGTTCCATGACTTCGATAGCAGACTGCGCGAGTAGTTCCGGAGTATCACACGAAAAATCACCGTAAGGCCCAGTATTATCCATAGTAGAGGCGTTGACATCGCGATGGACAGAACAAATCGCGACTACCTCCAGCCTCGTACTGTTTGTCCACGTGAAAATCGCTCACGTGCCAGAAGTAGCCTGTAAAACGAGGAGAGAAATTGGTGTGATGTTACAATGAGTTGTGAATATTAATAACGCCCCACTAATAAAATGACCCATTTCGTAAATTGCGAATGTCATTTCTGTCATAAAACTACTGCTCTGTTGCAAAATAAATGGAAACTATGAGATACGTGCACTTAAAACTTTCCACAGCATTCATGCGTATGGCACACATGAACGAGTGTAGCTTCGTTTGTTTTTACTACATAGACACTCAGTATGCCATTAAAAATAAGCCCTGTGCTCCATGTGGTACGATTGCAATGGTATGTGGTACTTTGACTCAGCCAACAACATACAAGCCAATTCAACAAAAATCAATAGGACTAATAGTATGATGTGCTACCAATAAAAACAAAAATGGCAATGTAATAAAAATGGGAAAGTAGGAGAAGTTAAGCCTTGCAAACATTTTTAAAGACGATAGTCTTTCTTGGGGACCTTCGACAGAAAAATTTTGGTCTGTCTGTCTGTATATTTGTCTGTTTGTGTGCCCTAACGATACCTCAAACGGCATTAAATGGCCAATCCCCTCCGCAGCACCCACCAATATTGCTCAAGGTTTAGCGTTCATCGTTGTGCGATTGTCAATTAAAAAGCAAATATTGCGCATATCTGAGGCGCCATAACATGTCTATGTTTTGTATGTCTGCTTTTATACTAGAAGAGGCACACACAAGTAACTCTAAGAACTGTAGCGTTTAACGCACTGCGCTGACAGTGTAACGCGATGCTCAAGAAGGTGTTTCCAACGTTTTTCTACGACGGCACGGTGGTGACACCTGCCCGTCGCTTTGAATTCTACACCTTATCGCCTTTGTGACTGGCGTGCATCTTTCTCCGCGGTCGCACACACCTTCGTTTTCGAAGATAACTGCCAGATGGCGCTCGTGCCTGACGCGCCTAGATGCGCTTGTTCGCCTCGGTTACACGCTCGAGGCACTCTAACGCAGGGCCTTCAGAATACCATTCACCGATTTTCTTGCGCAGAGCATCAAATAAACGTTTTGTTCACTCTCTCCGGGCGCAAGACTATCGTCTTCCGACGCAATTTGCAGTCTACCATGTGGATTCGAGCCATTTTTTTCTTTTCACATTTATTGTTTATTGTGTTTAGAAGCACTCAATCGAAAGTGATTACTGAGGAATGACAAATATGCTTTTTTTATCGGTGCTTTTTTATGTGGTGCCGTAGACGTTTCTTATCGGGATAAAAAGCTTCAGTGACGACTTTGTTATAATTTCTTTCGTGTAACCTGAGATTCTCATATCATTAGAACGCATAGTGGCTGTTGACATGGTGAACTTTTGTTCATGTATCCACGTCTTAGCAGTTGCATACGCACCGACTGTCATCTCTGTAGCGGCCACTAACAGCGCAGCGGAGAAAAGCATCAGCGACAAAGAATCAGGGGCGGAAACATAAGCCAGTGTTCCTCGTAGCGTCGACCACCAGGTGGTAGGACCAAGCTGATTAGTCGTGAATTGCAGCCTGCACGTAAAGTTATCCAGGTGAATGCCTTGCGTCTTCTTGGTGTCAATGGCAACGTGGTGACCGGGATCTACGACCGGGTGAGGCTATTACAAATTAAGTTGTGGTATGATGACGTCCGTACTTCATTACTCTAACTACATTTATAATAACCTCCCCTGGTCGTAATAAATGGTCACGGACAGGTTATGACATACTTGGTATGCGTTGCTCGGCTATCGCGTTTATTCTAAAGAAGTATAAGGATGCTTAAACGTTACACGTGACAAAGTTACCGGCCAAAACTAAGTGCACTACTGTGTAACTTCAAATGTGTAAAGCATGCGTTCTTTATATTTTATGACAGTTGCGGAGGAAGCAGTGTCGCGTTTATTAGGCAGTCAGGAAATGAAAGAAACAAGAAATGGCGACGTATCAGTATCGGAATGAATATAGTATTAATATAGTATCAGAACTAATACTCACTTCTACCACGTAAAACGGCTATTCCGGCAGCGAGCCACACGTTCAAAGCACTTCTTCGTCCTCCTCCTTGTTTGGGTTTGCTATATGTTTTTTCTTCGCTTTTTATGATTGGTAGTCTTTTTTCTCGCTCCTGATATTATAGAAATGGCATAGCCGAGGTGATATCAACCTCAACTTCTTCCCAGAAAGCTAGTTGAAAAGCAGTGCACATCCTATTTACAAATTTGTATAGCTGTGAAAGACGTAATTCTTTGATATCCTTTTCTTTTTCTTTTTGTAGGGTTTGGTGCATTTGCTCGGAAAGCTTCTAGCATGGCAGAACAGTCCGGTCGATAATGTAGCAGTAGGCCGTAAATAGCGTGGTTAACAGTTCAGGGCCACAATCAGTGTAATCTGCAGTCACGTTGATGACATGGTAACGCTATTATTTCACGCAGAATGACAATTTGCCAGAGAAGTATGTAATCACTGTGCGGTGAAATGAGGTGAACAAATTTGAAGCACCTAATTGATCTCCTCTTGGAAGATTTTTTCTATTGGCTAAAGAACTGTGCAGTGGCTCCCGACTTTTAATTAAAGTCTAAAGATATTCAACTCCCTTAATTTAAAAAAAAAGCTCATTTGCAGTCATAAAAAACACACTTTTGCTGCAAGTGCTAAAGCAATGACTGTCATAGCAAGAAATTGTAATGTCCACAAGAAGGGCAGGGAGCTGAAAACTTGCGACACGCTGCTTAAGCATTACGAACGCAGGTAACGAACACGCACAGGGCAAGCGCAAAATAAGTTTCGCAGCTCAATCCTTGCATACGCTTCTCTTACGCACTTACGCAGAAGATGACGCTCCAGAAGAATACACAGATGTGTATGTTTATTATGTTTTTCTTTTGAAGGTTTTTTTGCTTGTTTAGAAATCTAACATCTTTAAATTATTACCTATGTTACCTAATTATTCTAACTCTCCCTTTCAAGAAGTGAATTATTTAAAAAAACAAGGCACCGTACCATTCATAGCCTATTCCCTAGGTAGGTTGCGCCAAGGTGTTAAGGAACCAACCAACCAACTCACAGGGTAAGCACGAAGTAACAATTATCGCAGTTGTTACGTCAACTAGCTCCTACTTTGGCTTTTTTTATTTTGTATCGTGCTCCTTACGCCAGCGCGACCGCTGCAGTGAGTCAAGTGTCCTCCATGGGGTCTATACTTCTAACGCTGACTTCGCAGTGAAACCACAAGACGTACAAACCATCCTTACAAGTGATAAAACAGCGAGCGTGGGTGACCCAACCATGTATGTTATAGTTCAAGCCGGAGACGCACATTTCCATTCCGGCGAATAACTAAAGAGTTTTACAACTGGGGTCCAAAGAGCTAGAGGACCCAGAAGATTTGTGAACCACCAAGGTGCATGCGTGGAACCCAAACAACTCTCAGGCTCCAGTTATCCCAAGACCCTGCAACATCTTTATTTAGGAGTCTGAAAGAGCTGGAGAGCCGGTGACCACCGAAAAAAAAACAAAACAACGACGGTACTTGGCAATGGCACGTGAAACCACAGCTTCGATTCTGGTGAATGTGCAAAATATATACTGTCATTATTGTTCAGCCGTCTCATTGCTTTTCTCCTGATGCATAAGCCCACAAGTCCACACACTCATGAGTCGATTCACTCAGGCTCATTTAGACTCGAATAATGCTGTGAGTCTGAACCCGAGTGAGTGTGGGTCGAAAATGCTCCCATGAGTTTTTATCCGAGTAAGTCTCATTCAGGAGCCATCTTGCTAGGAAGCGCAGCCACTATTACAAAGAACACACAACAATAGTGGCTGCGCTTCCTAGCAAGATGGATCCTTACCAACTGGCCCGATACAA